GGAGACTCCTGACCAAGACCAACAGGATGCCCCGCTGGGCCGAGCGACTGTTTCCTGCCAATGTCGCTCACTCAGTGTACATCCTGGAGGATTCTATTGTGGACCCACAGAACCAGACCATGACCACCTTCACCTGGAACATCAACCATGCCCGGCTGATGGTGGTGGAGGAACGATGTGTTTACTGTGTGAACTCTGATAACAGTGGCTGGACCGAAATCCACCGGGAAGCTTGGGTCTCCTCTAGCTTGTTTGGCGTCTCCAGAGCTGTCCAGGAATTTGGTCTCGCCCAGTTCAAAAGCAATGTGACCAAGTCAGTGAAGGGTTCTGAATACATCTTGGCCAAGCTGCAAGGTGAGGCCCCTTCCAAAACCCTTGTTGAGACAGCCAAGGAAGCCAAGGAGAAGGCAAAGGAGACGGCACTGGCAGCTAAAGAGAAGACCAAGGGACCTTGCCAGCAAGGCAGCCACCAAGCAACAGCAGCAGTTTGTGTAGCCAGCGGAGAACCTGGTGCGGGAGCACACCCCACCACCTGCAGCACTCCCTCTGCCCTCCCCGCTGTATTTTATTATTAAAAGTCAACTTCCAGCCTGATCTACTCTCTAGGTAGTGGGTTGGAAATAGTATCTGTTTGGCACCTACCTCGTTCATAGGTCAATGCTCAACCACTGAGCCACACCGGCCGGTACTGACTTCTCTTCTTGAATTTACCTCACAGTTGTAGGCTTGTGCGTCACTGACATCACTGTCCTTTTAGAGGAGGGGTCCTCAAACTTTTTAAACAGGGGGCCAGTTCACTGTCCCTCAGACCGTTGGAGGGCCGGACTATAGTTTAAAAAAAAACTATGAACAAATTCCTATGCACACTGCACATATCTTATTTTGAAGTAAAAAAACAAAACGGGAACAAATACAATATTTGTATTTGCATGTGGCCCGCGGGCCGTAGTTTGAGGACCCCTGCACTAGACTGTAAGCTCCATGAGGGCAGGGACCTTCATTTTGTTCTCTGCTGTGTCCCAAGTATCTGGAACAGTATCTAGCTCATAATAGACGCTCAATAAATATTTGTTGAATTAAAAAAAAAGCCATAAAGGACAGACAACAAACTGAATGACTTATAGAATTTGGGAGCCAGACAAACAAGGATTTAAAATAAGCTATCATAAAGTTGTGTGTGTGTGTGTGTGAGAGAGAGAGAGAAAGAGAGAGAGGTGGGGAGGAAAGAGAGAGAGAACAGCTTAAGAATGAAGTAAAAAAGTGTGCCAGATCAACCGAAGGACTTGTATGCATGCATATAAGCATAACCAATGGACACAAGACACTGGGGGGTAGGGGAGGCTGGGGGATTGTCAAGGGGGAAAAAAAGGAGACATATATAATACTCTTTGTAATACTTTAAGCAATAAAAAAAAAGTGTGCCAGAAAATTCCATCCAACTGGAATCCCTGATATAACAAAACAAAACAAATCAGTATCTGAAATTAGATTGGTTGGGTAAGAGAATTGATAACACTTGAACTAGTATTAGTAGGTTGAAAGATTAGGTTGAGGAATTCCCAAATATGCTATTTTTCAGGGGGAGAGGGATGAAGAAATAGAAAATATGAAAGAAAATTTGAGGATAGAAATAGAAATACCATGATCAATACTATAGAAGTTCCAGGAAAATAGGAGAAAATAGTGATAAGATAAGAATTTCTCAGAATTAAAGTAAATTCAGATTGGAATAGCTAAGTGCCAAACAGATACTTAAGAACAGACGAACTACCAAGGAATAAGAATCAGATGAACATCTGACTTTTCAATAGCAACACTAAAAACCAGAAGACAGTGGAGGGATAGTATTAAAAAATAAA